ACACACACACACACACACACACACACACTGGCCATGTGACGTGGATGCCCCTGTTCCAGTTACAGAGGGAGGGAGGGAGCACATAAACCTCCACACGGAACTCAGTAGCAGAGAGAGTCCTTCAGTCAGCTGCAGTTTTTCCAACATGTTAGTTTTTTTTAACTTGAACAGACCAGAACCTTTAATGGGGAGCAGCTGTTTTAACAAGTGGACCCATTTTCACTCCTTATTTTTTCTTTCTTTACCACCGGATCACTGAACTGCGCACAAACTCTGGGTATAACCACCACAGACTGCAAGCGAGGAAGAAGAGCAGTAAATGACTGTTTACGGTCCTAAAGTGGCCATTCTTTTTCATTTTCATTGCAAACTGGATCACTTGACCTTAAAGCTGCCAGTTATGTTTTACAAAAAGCCTTGAGGATGTAAGTGAGAAGGGTATAAGTTCAATATCAGCTGCTTTAACTTCACATACAGCAACATTTTCATCATTATAACTACTACATAGTTATAATGATGTTATTCCACTATTTGCTGTAGATTGTTATTATTTTCAGATGAAGCAACAAAGAAACTTTTTGTGGCCGTGTGAGTGATTTGTGAGGAGGATGATGCTGTGTGCAGCAGCTTCCTGCCTGACGGTTAACTTGTCACAGACGCTGCCTCGTCAAATGACTCTGCCCTGACTCAGGTTGGAGTCAGGGGCCACTCGGCACAACATGGGCAACTCTTCCAGGAAGGACGAAGGGGAAGAGGAGGAAGACTCTGCCCTGACTCAGGTTGGAGTCAGGGGCCACTCGGCACAACATGGGCAACTCTTCCAGGAAGGACGAAGGGGAAGAGGAGGAAGAGGGGGCGAAGGACGGCGAAGAGGACGATGTGGAAGCGACGGAGGATAAAGTAGAGGAAGAGGTGGAGGTCGAGCTTCCGCTGGGGGTGGAGGAGYTGCTGGAGAGCGGCGACCCCGTCTTAGACTTGAGTTATCGCAAATTTAAGAGGTTGCCTTCGCGCGTTTGTCAACTGATGCATCTGGAGAAGCTTTACGTTTGCGGGAACAGCCTGCGCACGATGCCTGATGGCCTCTCGCAGCTGCAGGGTCTGCGGACGCTCGCCCTGGACTTCAACAAGATCGGCGACGTTCCCTCAGCCGTTTGTCAGCTCGCTGGTCTCACCCGTCTCTACCTGGGCAGCAACCGGCTGATGAGCCTCCCGCCTGAGTTCACCAACCTGCAGAGTCTGAGAGGCTTGTGGATAGAGAGCAACTTCTTCATGGCTTTTCCCCGTGAGCTTTATGACCTGCCCCACCTGAAGTCCCTGCAGATGGGGGATAACCGGCTGAAAACRCTGCCCCAAGACTTGTGCCGCATGAAGGCTCTGAAGGGATTATGGCTRTACGGAAACCGCTTTGAAAGCTTCCCCAAAGTCCTGCACCGCATGGAGTCTTTGGAGATCTTAGACCTGGACAAGAACAAAATATCAGAGCTTCCCAGCCTGAAGCGCCTCAAGGCCCTCCGCCTGTTCTCCTACGACCACAATCCAATCAAGGAACCTCCTAAGGTGGGCGAGGAGGTGTTCCTGGTCGGTGAGGGGGCTGCCGAGTTCATGGACAAACGTGAGGCCAGGAAGGAGAGGCTACGCAAGGCCGCCGAGGAGGAGGCAGAGGAGTTGGCCGTGGCTGAAGAGGAACCGGTGATTCACGGCATCCTCAAGAACAGCAGCGCAAACTCGAAATCGGGAACGGATGAAGCGGCGGAGACCGTCGAAGACTCGGACATCAGAGACGAAGAGTCCCTGGTGAAGGACGAGGGGGAGGCCGAGGAGGGAGGCTGCGTGGAGCAGCCAGTGATGGAGTACGACGGAGCGGAGCTGGAATACGATGAAGAGATGGTCGAATACGAGACGGAAGAGCTGATATGTGAGGGAGAAGGGTTTGAGTATGAAGGAGAGGAGCTGGAATATGAAAGTGCTCCAATGGACTACGAGTATGAAGATGGGGAGGAACTAGAAGACACGGGGAGACAAGACAAAGGTGCATGAATTCATCACCCAGTGGCGTCCAAACTTGGTCCTCAAGGACCACTACCCTGCAGGTTTTGCTGTTTCCCTGCCTCAACACAACTAGCACCAAATCACTCTCACAATCCTGCATGTTTTAGAAATGTTTCCTCTCTTAACTTAAACCATTGGTTGACTAACAAGCATTTGCAGAACATGAAGAGRTAATTCAACCACTGAATCAGGTGTGTTGATGCAGGGAAACCATTAAAACGTGAAGGTTATTGGCCCTCGAGGACCAGRACGAAACACCTAAACTATCAGATAATCCTCTGACAGATGGACACAGATGATCGTAAATCAAACCAACAGGGACAAAGTTGATTTAATGGGCACTTTCTAAATTGTGCAGCTGATTTATAATCTACCTTCAACTGTGAACAAAAAAAAAGGTTTAAAAAAAGTTGTTTCTTTAATCTAACAATGTGGAACATCTCAGTTAACTGCACACAATCAGGTGAAATGTTTGTGTAAAATGTGTCTTGTTAGTGCTTTTCATCATTTATGTTAAAAGTTTCTGTGAAGCGACAAGTTTAACTGAAGCACTTTCTGCATAATGTGATCAGTGGCTGTTTTCCTTCGAAGCATAACTGTGTGTGCACGTTAATGGCCCAGTTGGACTTTGCTAAATATTTATGACGCGCACAACACAGCCTGCCCTCCCTCCGTCTCTTGTCAGTACTGTGTAAGCAGCCCTGCGAGCATCAGTGCCAAGAAACGACCTTAAGAATAGCTGAGGTGCCTCACCATAAAAGGTTGAGTCCTTACGGAGGCTTTAAATATGAAATAGACAAAAAAAAGTTTAAAGAGAATCTTGTCAAAAGTTTTTTTTAATCTGCTCTTTCTTTTGTCAGATTGCACCTTTTCTCTGCTCGACACTGTATAAGAAGGCCAGGTTCTTGTTCTTCTCTCATCTGTGCACCTATTATTTATGCAGGGGCTGGTGTGTAATCCTATCCCTCTTCATCTGCACATATCTTTTTCTCACGTCTCATTAAAAGAGTGAAATATTTATCTCGGWGCTGGAATATTAATGGCTGCTCTCGCGTGGCGGGGCCTCGTCTCCTCTGTCTGCGTTCTGGGGACGGTGCAGGAACACTGATCCTTTTCATTTTACCTGAAAGATTTTTAACCTATAAATTAAAATCTAGGCCAGTATGTGTGTACACAGATAAGCCATAACATTTTGACCAYTGACTGGCAGTGGAACCTTGAGGGGGGAGGAGCATGGAAAGGCATTGAAAATCCAGGGGTGGCATCAGAAATGTTTGTAACGTGAGGGGGATGACACACTGAAGGGGGTGGGGGGGGGGGGGGGTGTCTAAACATTTGTTTTAAATATGAGGGGGACTTTACATCACATTGATTTGAACATGTTTTTGTTTAAAATGTATTATGTTCTTTATGTTATTATGTAAAACAGGCAAACGCTTGGGACTCAAGCGGATAAAAACTGTGGGTTCAGTGGTAGGGACACCAAGATTTTATTTTTTATTTATTTATTTATTTTTTGTTGGGTGGGGAGGGGGTGTGTTCCCATCTAGTGGTACCCCTTGTTACAAGACTTAAGAGCACATCAGTTTGTGTTTTTATGTAAAGTAGTCTTTTACTGATGGCTTGTCTTTTAAACTGAGACTTTTATTGTTCTTGATTTGTTTTTAAACAACCATCTTGACCAGAACTCCCCTGGTCAAATAAAAGGTCAATAAAACTAAATAAAAACAAAGAGGAAACTGTCTTTACTTAACCTCCAAACTCTCCAGATTACAAATGAAGGTCTGATCAGATTTCCAGCAAACATGAAACATTTGATCTCAGCTTCAGGTGGAACTATGAAAATACACTGTATAATGTTTACAGGATGTAGGTTTGATACATGCTAATCTGAGGAAGATAACATGCTCACAGTGTCCATGCTCTTATGAGCTCTGCTGAAATAAACTTTTCTAATTATGATGGGATAAAATAATTAATTACCCCATTGGCAAAGGACAATCATTTTTCTTCGTTTCACTTTAATATTCTACCATATGCTGTCTTTAGTAAAACACAAGGGAATAACTTAAAAGMTCAAACATAAAAACAATCTTATTACCATGAAAAATCTTATTGAAGTAAAACTCAAAACCTTAATATTAACAATATGGAAAATCATACTAGATGCAGCCATGATGTGTCAGTATTTTAGATGATTTGCTTATACCATCAAAGACCTGTTAACGCTCAGTGATGGGAATGCAACTCAGCTACTATCACATCAAATTTTAGCCTAATATTTGTAAAACTGGCAATTATAGCCATTTTTATGTTTTGCTAAATTGATTATCTCTGGYAGCCATTGTGAATGGGGTTGGCTTTAAAAGGTGATCAGTTATAGATGTTCATCAAAAGTTTCTGAAAGTTTCAATAAAATCCATTCCATGGTTTATGAGATGTTTTGCTAACAGACAAACAAGGTTGAAGTGACAAAGGACTTTTTTTTTCTAAAATGAAAAGCCACGCAGTTTACATCAAGACGTGAGGAGGTTTGATTAACCCTTTAATATAAATCTGTGGAGTAAAAAGAAAAAAGGGATATGTGAGTTAAAACTCCAATCATTCCTGATGTGAGATGTACAACCTGAGGGACTTACCTGTCAACAGCTCGATGGCTGTAGCTGTTCTCCATTTTGTTAGTGATGATTCCTGAGGTGGGAACAGGGAGCGGCTGCTTTGGGGCGCCATGGTGACAAAACCTGGAAAGATAAAAAAGAAGTGACACTTTAGCCATGTCTGAAGTATCTCAAGGATTGCAATTTTCGACACAAGACATAAGAAAACGAAATTCAGTTAATACCACCGTTATTTTTGCTTAAAGGGGTGTTTCTCAGATGTATTTCTATACCAAAATAAAGTAACTTTGTCACCTTCAGTTGTTATAAAAATGCTGTCAATTCATAAAAAGCAAAAATTAATTTGACATCACATCACAGCAATTTCTAAATGCCTTGAAATTAGCCTCTGTCTCTTTAAGAACCTTCTACTGATTCCATCACKCCCATTTCTGCAGTCATCACAACAGCTTCAGGTCATTYACAACCAGTCTTAGGAGCGTTGTATTTTTTTGTAATAAGATAAAAAGCAGCAACATTATACAGTATCGGTTTTGGAAAATAGCAACTCAGGATACAGTTGAAACTTACTTGAATGATACCACGTGGGACACGAAAAGTACATTTTTTGAAGAACCAGAGGGAGTAGAGAGATGACGTTTCAGCTTGGTAAGCTATCTCCCAGTCATTCTCTCACACACACGTCAATGTCAAGCTAATTTATTTATTACTAAAATATGGTGTAAGCGCACAAAAAAAGAACACAGTTTAGCTATAATATAAGTTAAAAATGGTAACCATAGATCACAGATAGACCAAACAGCTGAACAAAACAACGGGAGTGGTTTTTCAGCTTACCGGGGCAGACAACAACAATGTTTGTGTCCTGAGTGTTGGAATTATATCATCTTTTAGTGATAATTTTGTAATTAACCYACTGTTAAATCCCATTTTGTTCAGAAAGCTATCATCCGTAAAGTGGCTTGCACAAATTTAACAATCTTTTTTTTTTTGATCAGAGGGTTGATTCCAAAAATGAAGCCCAACCATTTTTTAATAACCATGTCATCCATGTAGGGGTGAAATAATCAAGGAAACTGTCTTGGACCTCAGACCACTGATGGGCCTTTAAAGAGACAAAAACTCTGTTCCACTCAGAACTGAATTTAGGCCACTTCGGGTCGCCTTAACCTGTAAATGAGACACTATCTTTTTCTTAATCAGATAATAGACAGAAGAATCTTCTTTTTATTTGATTTATTTTTCTTTTAACTGGAAGTTATTACGCATTTTGACAATCAGAGAATGTTTATCAAAGWTACAGRAGRAAAGARAACAGATCTCTTTTCTCCCTCAGTATGATTTCAGCTATGTATGGACTTTCTGAGCTCAGCAGACACACACGCATGCAGCGTTTCACCAGTTGTTTGCTAATTGTTGCTGATAGCCKGCAGGAGTCACAGGGGAGGTGTGATCTGTGATGGAAAAGCTCGGCTTGGAGACACAGCCCAGCTTKTACATTTACTGCACCTAACAGGCGGTTCAAGGCCCGACCGGCCATTTTTGTTCTCCTACCACAGGACATTACAGGATTTCACAAACGTGCATGGATAATTTTACATGATATTGCCACTTTAAAAGACATTTAAATTGATAACTTTTACCATTTTAAAACGCTTTTATTAAAAAAAAGATTTATATAAACTTCAGCATAACGAGACAAATACTTACCTGCTCCAATAATGTGTTATGAAATGTGAAGAATCAAATGGTRTTTTAGGGAAAACTTCATCCTTTGGAGTATTTAAAAGAAATCCTGTAAGCTCCTGGATGTAAAAAACAAAATAAAGTGAGTCTGATTAAAAGTTTAAAMCTTAAACCTTTGTTCTGATATAAAAATGATAAAAATTGGACCTTTTTTCCAATGATCATCACAGTTGTTGATCTGCTTCTAGTTTGTGGTGAGGGCAAAAGGGAGCTCTGCATAGAGAAGAAAATCAGTTTTTTTTGTACTTTAATAGTTAAAAGTTAAAAAAGAATCTGGAGATCAATAAGGACCAATTGGGTGGGACAATGGAGCCAAAGTGCCTCGTGTGAAACCTGTTTCTCAAAAGGACCGACTGCTCAGAACTGGTATCACAGCAACTCCCTTCAATACAAGAAAAAATATATATATTTCAAATTAAATCTGTACTTTTTTTGTTAGACATTTTTACAGTCAGCATGGCTCAACCTGCAGGAGGGAYGGAGAGGTGAAGTCACTTTTCATCACCGAGCTGGAAGTTTGATGAGGTTCAAACTGAACATCAGCCGAAGTTCAAAAAAAGGAAAATAATTTACATGTAAACATRGCTGCAGAAGAGAAATAACCAAGTACTTTGTAAATATGACTAAAAGGATATGAAAATGACAGCAGAATCTAAAAAGCTTGTATTTTTTTTCAGGTGTCATAAAACATAAAATTAAATTTGAACTAAAAATAAAAAAAACTATATGGAGCTAATGGGGTCATAAATTTTGATTAAAAAAATAATACATTTCAAATTGAAGAAAAAAACTAGAATCTGACAAGTAGTTTCAAACTTTTTTCCTGTTTCAAATCGTTCTTCATTTCAGTTTCAAATTTTTTTAAACAAACTTTATGGCCTCAGTTGAGCTGTTTTTGTTAAAAAAAGAGGAAATTTCAGCAAAGTTCTTGATATAGATTTTTTAAAATGTGTTTCTGAAAATTGATCAATGACTTTTTCACTA